TCAGCCGCATTTTTCACTGCCGACTATCACAATAAAGCGTCGACGTATGTATGCTTATCCTGCGGAACTCTTCTTCTCGCAGAGAGGCGGACAAGGAGCGCGTTCATGATGTGTCATGAGCACAGCGTGATGTGCGGCGAGACTGCCGTGACTGTCTAGCTGCGGCGCGTTTTTCAAGGTCACTTCTAGTCACTTCGGCGATGTCCTCACCATTAGCCTTGCAGAACAGGCTACGCCGAAAACCTTGGCAATGTCAGTAGCCACGTACCTGATCCACCCAGCCGTGGTGCTCTTGCCTAGGATTATCCCCTCCTAGATAAGCTTTCCACCTCTCCGTCAGGCCTCTCGCCAGTTGGATACTGACGCCCAGTGATTAAGGCTTCGGGAGGAGGCGTGTTTTGTGTATAAGTTCTGCGCGCCAGCGGCGCATAAAAAAAAAAATTTCCTAAACCAAATAACACTGACTCGGCAACACATTATTACGCGCTTGGAGCAGAGAGTGACCCGATATAGCTTCTCTCTTCGGGGAGTGTGCGCAGCAACCATGGTAAGAGAGTTTGACAGGCGGGAATGGAGGTACTTCATGTCTCCGGCATTCCCCCGGCCCAATCTTTCGTCCATCCCAAAGTCGGCGTAAACTGCGGCAATCGCGCCGCACAAATTGCAAGCGGTCACAGCAGGTAGCAGGCTACACAGCAGCGCAGCGGCTGCCTGAACAACTTAGTTATTGTGCTTTGCAATGCGTGTGTCCCACACGGTGAACCCTTTGTTTATTTCGAAACCTAGCGGTGAAGGAGGTTGTTTGTGGCCTGCCGGCCGTTGTAAGCTGCTGTTGGTGCTCTTGGTACTTGGACATGGGTCTGTCTACAGCGCTCGATTCACTGGGTATGTATGCAGTGTAGGCTCCCAGCTCCCAGGGCATGGCCTTTGTTGGCTACTATTGAAAACACCGATGGAGCACCCAGAAATTACATACGAGATACATAAGACCACGCAGGGTGGAGATTATTGCGCAGCAACATCCGTTCGTTGTCATTCAGATCAGGCCGAGCAGCGAGCGGTTGGGGCTCATCTCCACCAGCGCATCATGGATTCTACATATCTCCATATCTTCTCTCAAACCGAACCCATTTTTCAACGGTGTCTATATGCAAGACGTAACGGGCGACATGGCAAGGGCTCAAGCAGGTTCCTTGCGTTGTGAAAGGTCCCAACGTCCCAACACGAATATTTTGTCAACAGACAAAGTAATCATGCAGAGGCAACCTCGCGTGACACGCACAGACTGCTGCATCTGGTTCCATGTAGCATTAATGTTCCGCTGGTCTACGCGCCGTCACAGACCCAACCTGCCAATTGTGGGTCGTCCAACAAAGCTAGTGTGAACTATTGTTGTACACCCGCGATTCAGGCGTAATGGGTCTATGATGGCGTGGGTCGTATATGGAGTATGTAGTATGGACCCAAATTTGCGGCGAACTTTTCGAACTGCAGCTGTGGCATGCGACAGTATGACCCGAGTAGCAGATCAGGTCGTCCCAACGCGCAACTCGCTGCTCGATTATATCCTCCACTGGTATTGATGTATGATATCCGTGTCGGGCCTCCGAACGCGATGACCGTAATTGGACACCCTCTGCGTCGCCTGGTTCACCTTGCATTTAGACTGTGTTGGGTAGGTTGTCTTGGTCTGGGAGAAGATGTGTGAAGGTAGCCTACAGGTGATACGATGCCACAGACAGCGCAACCGTTGCTTGGTGTGACCACTACCGCAATTTTTGTTGCTCAACACTTACCGCCTGGCCTTGTCTACGTGTCTCGTGTGCTGGGTGCTACCTTGTTAGTTGTGGAAATCAATCACACCAAGACCGTTTCGCACTGAGTCCTGCGCCTCAGAAGAAACTCGATTCGGCCACATTTTGCAAAATTAGCTGTTGAAGTGATGTGTACGGATTTAGGCTACATATGTTGTTTGGACAGCGGTGTGTGTACTCGGTGAATGACTCAAACTGCCAGATTCTCGGCTGGTTCGGTCGTTAAACACTTGTCCTCTTTTCCGCGTTGTAACCGTCATACTGTGCCGGTGGATGCAGCAATAGTCATTGCTAATCTACACGCATGGTGGTATCCAACTGTAGCGCACTACTGTGTAACGACTCACCGTGGCGTCGCCCCCACCCCCTTTTGCCTCCGGCGTCTTTTCGTTTGCGTTTTGCTCGAAGGCGGCCGACCGGTTCAACATGAACCGTAGTTGGGATCATATCCAAAACAAGTACGTCGGAACAGGCCATTCGGACACCACCAAATTGTAAGTGCACTGCAGTGGCATGAATGACTCTCTCGTGCTGTTGGTCCGTACCGCTGCTGTCTCTTCGTATGTGCTGAATCTCGTGATGATGGCGCCTTTCCTCGCGAAAAGATTTGCTGAGAAAATCTTTCGGAGAACCCGTTTTTCATGTCTCTCCTTGTATTCGTTACGAATAGGCTCAACGTACCACTACCGCCCTCCCCACCGCCATCCGCGCTTGTGCACTTTTTCCCTGTCAATCATCCTTGCTTCAGCGAATGGGCAACAAACCAGCACCGAGACTCTATCGCATCACACATTGGACACAGCGACTTGCTGATGTACTTTGCCGTTGCGGAGAACAATGCCGTGGGCCGTGTGCGGTACCAGCTGCTCGAGGTAACTCATTCCACACTTGGTGTAGTTTTCAATTGGTAGTTTTTTTTGTATCACGGGTTCCTCCCTGTCGAAACTTCACGTGCCAAATAGGCGTGTAGTTGGAAGGAAAGGCCAGTTGTTTCCGCCCGGCTGGGTCGGCGAGGGAAACAGTATACCCCAAGCGGTGTTCACGGCTGGGGCTCAACTATTGTATGGCGATGTTTTCACCGCCAACCTGCATGTTCGAGCGCTAGCTCTGGTCGCGTGTCTAGTGGCCAAGTGCCTGCTCACGGTATTAGAAAGATTCTTGCTCAGTAGCATGCGACGATGCGATGTTTTCCCTTTTTCCAGTCGTACACGCCCAACCGCGATGAGTGGAACTATCGCTGCGTAACACGTCGATCACTGCGTAACACGTCGTGAGGAGGCACCCGGAAAGGTTCGTTGTCTGCTGTGCCTTTCTCTTGTACCACCGTGTGGCTGCCGTTGGTTCGCCCGTATTTTTACTCGCTGCGCCGTACTGCTGCCCGCCCCGTTTTCTTTGCAGAAAATGCTGCAACCGTGCGGGCCACCACCAGCAAAAGACGACGACGATATATGACACTGCTTGTGGAAGCACCGACGTCTTGTCGGTTCTTCGTCGATTTGCATTCTTGCGTGTTTAAGCGCCACTCTTCGTATGTAGACGTGTAGGCCAACGTTGTGTTGGTAGCGTTATTATTGGCAAAGCATATAAGGTACAACGGTTGATGTATTTGCGGCCATGTGCCGAAGAGATAATGAAACGAAATACCATACGATCCGCGGCTGCTGCTTGCCGAGTATGTGTCTTGAGATTCTTGGCTGGCATCTGCTTGCTTGAATCTAGATCCTCTGCTATCGCTTCATGTGGCCCTTGACCTCAGCCTGGACTTGACCTCCCGCATCGTCAACAGCCGTTCAGGACGAAGGTGCACGCGGCGGGATAGCTAGGTTATGCGGTTCGAGCCCTTGTGTCGGGGTGCGTTTCGCCATTCTCCAACACATCGGTGGAGGGTGCAAAGAATGCAACCGGGGAAGTATTCGCCCCCCTCGGGAATTAAGGCGGGAGGCTAAGGAAGAGAGTTCCTTGTCCAGAGTAAACACGACCGACAAGCGGAGTAGACACTGCGAGAAGCGAACGGTGCGGAAGTAAGTGTTGAACAAATTTGGTGGGGTTAAGTGCGGTGAACACGATGGATATGTGGCGAGAGTATTTGTGCATCAGCCAGTCAATCAAGCTATTCAGTTCACCTATCCACTTGGACTCTGTTAGAAGTCTGGCAAACGCTCGCGCCCCCCTCGCCGAAACCTAATTTTATGCAGAACGATGCTTTGTGCAATCAATCGCGGCGGGTTCCGCCACTCAAAGGCGCAATATACCCACGACCCTGAAGAAAATGACGTCGGCAACTCGTTCCGGGTACAAGCTTGTCTGAATTCTGAAGCAGCCTTGTTCTTGTCAACGGCGTACAGCATGACACTGAGAATTGTCATTGCATGTGTAGGATACCTATTAATCTGGAGCGACGGCACACCTACATACGCCGGCACGAACACTTGTACATCTTTTTTTGTGTTTTGGAGAAGTTGTCTCTATCCACTATGTACCACCTACCACTGCAAATACCTGTCGGTAGCCGTACGGTGCATGAGTTTCAGTTCAGTAGTTTTCGGGAGTCACGTCTTTTTCTGCTTGCTCCAAGCGTTCTTCGCTTTGTGAGGGTATGTATACAGTTTTGGCCTGTGACCAAATTGTTCCCGCTTCCGACCCCCCAGTACGGGTGTTACGAAGGTACCGCGCAGAGCGATCGGAGCGGTGGTTACGGTGCACACCACATGAACAACAAAAAACTTCAATCAAGAGGAAAACAAAAACAATGCTGCACCCTTGAGATATGTTGTGGATCAACAAGGACCAAGCTGGGCTGCACCGCCATACAGCTCCACATCGTGGACGTTGCTTGAGTGATCCTGACGTGGTGAAGGTGAAATAATGTATGATAACACTCCTAAATAGTCTAATAGTGCTGCTTGATGTGTTCTCATTACATTGCACAGGGTGTGTGAAATATATTGATGGCCAAAAACCGGAGGGCAGGGGTGGGTGTGTCGAAAGTCTTACAATATGTGTTGAGACGAACTGCTTGATACTTCTAATACTGGACCTATACTGCTGTATTCGAGTCTGCCAATATATCCCGGAGAGCTGTGGCGGCTTGTAATCCATGTACCTCATGTGACGTAGTCCCGCCGCGTCCGAAAATGGAGTTCTGTCATTGGCTGGCTTGCTCGCTCATTATGGCAAAAACCAAGAACCAAAAGACCTTACAGTAGTACTGGTGGCGTTTCGGATCGGGATGAACCAGGCTTAATCCTGCCGCACACCAAAACAATCATTTTCTTCTCGCGGTGTCTTGTGAATGTTATGCTGGTGTTCCACATGCAACGGGCGGGTGCAAGAACCTTGTCTAGAGGCCGAGGATCCGAAAGTACAGCACACGGGGACAAAGTTTGAAATGGCAAAGCGAAGAAATAGCCAGGTAAGGAACTCGAGGTAACTACAGATACAGCGGTAGAGTGCGGTTTGATGTCGTGGTGCCCACAGGTGGCCACTGCTGTGCTGTAGTCTAGACTGCTGTGTGTTCATTGGCTTTACGGTACGTACTTCACATAGACTGACCCTTGTGCTGCGAACATTGTTTGTTTGCGTGAGAATCTTGGACTCAAATGTAATTAATTGTCAACTGACCTACTCGAGGGAATCCACGTGGTGTTGAACTGACGTGAAATATTGACATTTCAGGAAGTTTTGACAAGACGATGTTCCGCCGCTTGTTTGGGAAGCAAACTCTGACGTCGATTTTTTTTAGGAACCGTCAAAAAATCAAGCGACGCGAAAAGAATAACACTTCAAACATCTCCAGACTGGCACACACACGCTTGCTGCCCCCTCACAGGGTCCCAGTTCATGGCAGATATAAGTGTTTTGTGTTTCAACCGCACTAGACTGACGTTTTTTCATTGGTTAGCCAGTTAGCGCGGTCGATGCTAATATCTAATACAGACACACGCTTGCTCTGTTACCGTCACCAAATCACGAAAGGAGCGCCATCAGCAGCAAAAACATTATTGACCACGCCTACTGATTGCTCCTAGCGATCCAGCACACACACACACGAGGGCATGTGTGGAGCTATGGCCGTGTATGTGTTGCTGTTTTGTTTGAGT